GCCCATTATAGTATTTGTAGAAAAGAGAAAGAGAAGCAACATTACGACGATGTGACAAAAGTTGGAGATTGGCTGCCAGAGCAGGTCCAACTATGTTTACAATTCGTTTTTGCACCTTGTCTAAAAGAGAAAGAGCATCATTAGAAGATCCGCCCCAGATGTGGCAACAGTATTCCATACAGGGACGGATTTGAGATTTATAGAGATAGAGAATAGAATCTGGAGTAAGAAAGTGTCGAGCTCGATAAAGAGATGCAACCTTAGCAGATGCTAATTTTGCAATGGATTTGATATACGGTTTAAAAGAAAGATCAGAAGTAAGAGTTAATCCTAGAAGATGAATGGTAGATGACTCATCTAGTACATTACCATTCATAAATATAGGAAGATCTAAATTATTACGATAACAATTGGCCGAATAAAATTGAGTTTTATCTGAATTAAAGTTCACCAGCCACTGTGAGCCCCATGCTGTAGCAGAAGTGAGATCCTTTTCAAGCTCAGATACCCCCTCCAAGCAATCAGAGAGTGTAGGCTTCTTATCATGACAAGAGTAAATGGTAGTGTTGTCAGCGAATAATGCCACCTTAGATGTGAGAATATCTGGAAGATCGTTAATGTAAATTAAAAAGAGTATAGGGCCAAGGATTGAACCTTGAGAAACCCCTGAAGTTACAGGATGTGAAGAAGAGTGTTGTCCATCGAGGACAACTTTTATACTACGATTGGAAAGAAAGGACTCAATAATCTTAAAGACCTTACCAGCTACACCATAAGAAGAAAGCTTATGGAGAAGACCAGCATGCCAAACTTTATCAAAAGCTTTAGAAATGTCAAGTGCGATAGCCTTAACCTCTCCACCTCTATCTAATGCACGGTAAAACCTATAGGTTATTACTGTTAGCACATCAGCTGTAGAACGAGAAGACCGAAATCCATATTGATGATCAGAAAGTAAGTTATTTGATTCAAGATGAGAGATTAAGTGTTTGTTGATTAAAGATTCAAAAACCTTGCTTATGACAGGAAGAAGACTAATGGGACGGTAGTTAGATGAATCAGATCGCTCTCTGGAATTTTTGAAAATAGGGATAACAGATGCTGCTTTCCAGCATGATGGAAAACAAGACTCTGATAAGCACTTGTTAAATAGTTTAGAAAGTATGGATAAAAGCTCCGGAGAACACCTCTGCAAGACTACAACAGGAATGTTGTCAGGACCACAAGCTGTTGAAGAGTCTAAGCAGGAAATTACTTTAGATACAGAAGCTGAAGTGATGCGAATGTCAAGCAAGGGATCAACCTGTTTGACGGCTATGTCAGGTAAAACGCAACTAGTGGAATCAAGAGATGATATTGATGAAAAGTTCTTAGCAAACAATTCAGCTTTGTCTTTAGGTGAGGTGACAAAGTCTGAACCATACAAGAGAGAAGGAATAACAGATTTGCCCTTATTATTGATATTGTTAAAGATTCTCCAGAAGTCTCGAGAGCCTAATTTTTGTGATGAGATACGAGATTTAATGACCTGGGAATAGCGAGCTTTGGCGTCAGACAAAACCTTTTTACAATGGTTTCTGGCGATAGTGAACAGATGTCTGTTTTCTGGAGAATTGTTTTGCTGATAGATAAGGAAGTAACGGTTTCGATTAGAAATTGCTGCAGCGCAATGTGAGGAAAACCAAGGAGAAGAGTGAGGCTTGACCTGGAATCGTCGAGAGGGAATAAAAGATTCCATGCCAGCCTGAATCCACGAAGTTATGTAAGAAGCACATTTGTCAGCAGGAAGACGAAAGATTTCTACCCAAGGGCCATCACGAAGAAAATCACAGAAAGAGTCCCAGTCAGCTTTAAGGTAGTTGTATGTGGTACGATGATAGGTAAATGATTAGGGTTGTTTGGAAAACGAGTTGGAAAGTTGAGTATTTTAGTTAGAGATTGAGAAAGGCAAAAGTTGAGGGCCTTAACGCCAGCAGAGTCACTGACACTAGAGCCAAGCCAATCGGTGTGGTGGGCATTGAAGTCACCAACAACGACGATATTGGCCGATGGATAAAGAGAGAGGGCTTGGTCAATTTGATCAGAAATAACATCAAGAATAGTGCAATCTTGGGATGAAGGAGAGCGATATAGAACAAAGAGAAAGGCGATAGAGTGAAGTTGTGCTAAACGAAAGCACATAAATGAATAGTCTGTAGATTCAAACCTAGTTTCACGACAAATGGGTGAGTTCTTACGAATGTAGATGCCCAGGCCAAGCATGTGAATATTGGAGTCTTTACGAATTAAAGGAAGATAACCATCAACACTAAGATCACAAGATGGGACAGCCGAACTCAAATTAGTCTCACAAAGAGCAAGTAGGTCTGGTGAACTTTGCAAGAGATAAGACTCAACAGAAGAAAAGTTACTTCGAAGACCACGAATATTAGTAAATGATAGGTTTAGAGAACTTGGTGATGACGATGGTTTTTTGTGTTTTTTAGTTTTAGGTACTTTAGTCATTTTAAATTTATAAAGAACTTGACTCAAGTATAGATAGTACTCAGTACACTATTTAACAACTAAGCAATAGCCTCATTACTATTAATAAACCCTAAGCCGTAACAAAGGGCTCCAAATGTGGCCTCTGCAATGCACACCAAAAGTACAAACAGGGACACCATCCATGCGCAACATGGCACTGTTAGTACTCTGATATTTTTCGGCTGTTGATGGAATCAGCCTCTCTGAGAGCTACCACAGAGTTCGGGAAACCTGACTACCAGCCGGCCTCAGAACCATAAAACTGAGTTTTAGAGCTGTACCCTCATTAGGAGATAATAGAATGAGTTGCCCAGTTATAAAAATAGAGACACAAGCAATACCCACGCATTGAGTCAAGAAGATCCAGCGTTCAACATCCTAAACTGGAAACAATGTATTAAGAATACATCTGCGCCAGCCTAATAGATGAGGAAGGGGTGCGAGGCTGGTCAACAGATAGAATCTGTTTACCCCTTAAGTCATTGCCTAGGAGGCCTTCTACAAGACAGCAGCTGGATGCATGTAACATCTGCCCAAGATGAGTATTTTTATCGAGACACCATCTCTAGCCCTTACTCAACCAAGAGCCCCAAGGCAGGGGGTGTTTTAATTCGGAGTTAACTTCTCCTAGCCTTTGCCTAAAAAAGCGTATCCTACAAGGCAGCAGGACATGGAGCAGGTTGTACTGGGTTACATGTTACCAGTTGCAGGAAAACCTGACCTGACCTGACCTGTTGCCTGGTTTAGTTTAGTGAGTGGGCTTTTCAATTTTAATTAGTATTTAAAGCAGCAAAAAGTATAATGAGTTTTAAGAATGGCAATTTAAGCGAAAATAATTAGAGTTAGTAAACCTATATCTAGAAACTTTTCTTTAAATCTAATTATTTGCTATATATATTTGTGTTCTGTCGTGACCTCAGGCGCAATGCTTGTTCATCCGCGAGTTACTTTGTATACGTTGTTTGTGTTTAGTAACCAAAAACTTCTTATATTTCTGTTACATAATTAGTTTTATTAACTTTAACGATTATAACTTCATTGAAAACGCAATTATTTTTGTAAGTCTTTGTTTAAATCATGAAAATTGCTTTAAAAGATACATTACGATAAAAAACAAATACACAAAATTATATTTACATAAAGAATACAATCTTTTTTAAAATAAAAAATAAGAATATACTAATAAAATCTATGATTTATAATAAACTTTTAAAATTTTGACAACTTAATTAATATATATTTAAAACATTTATTTTTGTAAACAAATAATAAATATTTTTAAAACAATTTATGCTAGAAATCTCAAAACGTAACAAATCGTGAATAATACAAATTCTAAAACATTTCAACAGAATACTCTAGAACTTTATTTCGCTTAATCAGCGTATTTTTTGAACCAATAGAATTAGTTTGTTCGTTAATTTGGCAGGTTTTTAGTGTTCGCAAATATTTTTTTTATTCTTGCGCTCAAAGATGTTTTGAGAACATTCAAGTTTTTTATGTTTCCATGTATGTCCGTAAAACAAAAATTTTTTGTTTCGTACATAAACTTAAATGTTCTCAAAATGACTAAAAAACCTGGCCAGTTTTACGCAACTAAATATAATTTCCGTGGTCAGTATTCGAGAGCGATCGCTCCCGCTTCCCGACCAAGCCTGGATCACTTATTTTCTGATTGATTTTAGTTTTACTGTTTATATACTGGTATATCAATTTAGGATTTTCTTTGGCTTTATGAACAATATCATATTCATACTCTCTGATTGTTGATTTTACAGTTTTTTTTGTGACTTTATTGATATTTTTGTATTCTCTTATAAATTTTAAATTTATTTAGTTAAAATTATTAAATAAATTAGAAGTCTCTAAATTTGGAATTCCTTCACTTGATCCACAGTTTTATTTTCAACTTTTCAATTTTTTTTTGTAATTCACCTCCCCAAGGCCAAGAAGGCCACTACAGATGAGGAGGCTGCTTGTGGTTACAACTCTCTCTCAACTCTATAAATCCGAAACACCAACCTTGACAAACAAGGCCGCTGCGCTGAGAGACAAGTTGAGCACAGTACTACGAGGGACGTCGTGGGAATTGAATTCAGAACCTCTCGCTTATGAAACGAGCGCTCTACCACTACACCACTAGCGTATACAAAAAATATAAAAAGAAATATAAAAAATACAGTTGTCTCATTGCCTTTAATTTTAGTTTAAAAATCAAAAAATCCCAATAATATCTTTCCAAGTGTTAAAAGGTCAAAAGTTTGACCTATCATAACTCAAGAACTACAAATATTTAGAAAAAAAAAATTTACTTGGTTCTTTTTTACCCTATCAGCATTACAATATAAAAAATTGAGCGTGATTGAAGGATATCATTTTTGAGCCAACAGTACTTTTGCCTGGTTTTCTCAGAAAATGGCTTTTAAAATAAGGAAGTATAATTTTAAATACATTTCAGTTGTATTTATTTATAGCTGGTATCATGGTGATATTACCAGACCAGCATGTGAAAGCATTCTTATGGCCCAAAAGCCTGGATTATTTCTTGTTCGAGACAGCTCTACTTGTAAAGGAGGATATGTACTATCTGTGAGGTATGATAATGTTTTTAATTATTGTTTTCTAATGTTGATATTATTTTCCATTGTTGATACAGATAAAATTATAAAAAATTTATTTGGTTTAGAAATACTGAACCTCTTTTTTATGCTAATTAATTGCTTTTCCTCTATAAATGTTAACTTGGTTAAAAATATAAAAAAATACCTAATTACTTGAGTGTAAATTTGCTTTTAGCATATTTTCAATTTTGTCTTTTGTGAAAAATATCTTAAAAAAATTAAATTTAGCAAAAAAACTTGAAAATATGCTAAATGTGTTTATTCTTATTTAAACAATTAAATATTAGGGAAATTAAATTATTTAAACAATTGTGTATTTAATTGTTTTAAAAGAGATATTGCATAGAAAAGATTTTTAAAAGAAAACTAAGATTTTAAATAATAAAAAGTTTCGTTTTAACTATGGAATAAGTTTAGCTATGGTTAAAGAAATGTTTGTTAAATTTTTATAGTTGCAACTATGGAAGATGTGATTGTTTCACATTTACCTTAGAAATTTGTAACATCACTAAAGAATTTTAAAATCACTAATTTTTTTAAAATCAATCTATTCTAAAGGTTTTAGTTAAAAAGTATTATCTCAAAATAAAAATCAATACTTGATGTTTTCCGTTTTCAAAAGAAATTTTAAAATGTGTTTATTATTCTTGGTTTTTGATTTCTTGGTTCAAAAGCTGATTATTATTCTTGGTAAAATTATTAGTAAACCAATGAGATGTTAAATTGAGAAACAAGTATTTTTGATTAATAGTTCATCCATCAGAATGATTAGTCAAGTAGTTTAGCCATCAGACAAAAACAAAAAAGATAAATCCTAATTCAATTCCTTTTTAATTTTTTAATTTGACTTTATCATATAAGTTTTTAAAAACAATTTTTTTTTTGTTTTTTTTTTGTATTTCACCTCCCCAAGGCCAAGAAGGCCACTGCAGATGAGAAGGCTACTTGTGGTTATAACCCTCACTCAACTCCAGGCCTTGTTACGAGATTTCGCTGTGTAACGGAAAAGCGAAACGTGAATAAATGTAACTTTACTCAATAAAGATATTTACATTGTTAAAAAATAAATTACGTCAGTTGCGTTTTTACTTCATTGTAATTAAATCAAAAAATGACATTAAAAACTATTGTTAGTCTTTGAAACGAAATAGCTTTAAATTGAATAATGTTGTTATAAAAAAAAAAAAAAGTTTTGATGTTGATTAAAAAAAAGTCTTCTTGTATTAAAATCTTATACTTATTTAAACTTAATTTTTTTGCTTTTAAACATTCGTTTTATGGTTTTTTTTTTTTTTTAATAATTTAAATTTAACACTTGCTTATGGTTGATTTTCTTAAAGGGATTTAAATGTACTTACAACTAAACATAGATTGGGTTTTCTCCTTTTAAAAAAAATGTTTGCACTAACTGGTTTTGATAAAATAAATATTGTAAAGAAACGAAATTTACTGCTTTTTTGGCTTTGTTTTTTTTTTTTCGGTTTTAAGATGTTATATATAACATCTTAAAACTTAAAATAATCTTAAATCTTAAAATAGTGATATTTGTTAAAAACAAATTATGCTTATATATAAGCATAATTTGTTTTTAACAAATATCATAATTTTGAAATTTATGTATCTTATATTTATAACTCTAGTATTAGTTTTGTTTTTAAAATAAAATAAATATAAGTTGGGCTTTTAAAGAGTTTATTTACTGATCGCGTTATTTTTAATAGGTTTGAATTTTGGTTTGTTTTATAAAAAAAATTCTTCGGCAAGCGGCAAAGGGAAAACCCAAACATAACATTTATAACTCGAGTTTAAAAGAACTTTTTTGTATTGATGTCATTTGTTAACTTGTAGTTATAAAATGAATAATAAGTAAATAATGAATGAAACTGTAAAATAATGGAAAAATAAAAACTGGAAAATAATGCGCTTTTGTTAAGCGCATTATTCAGACCAGTATTTGGAACTTACCTGAAACTTAACTGAAATTAAAATAAAGTTATATGTAAGACGAACATTTTAAAGTAACTTGAATTAAATTTATTAAATCTTTTAAACTTTGAAAATTTTATCATAAAAAAAGTTTTACTTTGTTTTAAAATTAAATGAAAGAATTTTAATTAAATTTAATAAATTTATTTACCAAAAACTATAATTAATAAAAAAATATTTAAATTTAATAAAATAAATTGAAAATATTGTTTTAAATTTGAATGTTTTTAAACTTATGAAATATAAAACTTAATATTAAATATGATAAAAAGTTTAAACTTAAAAGCTAATTTTTAACAACAACAACAACAACAATAAAAATAATTTAACAAATTTTTCTTTAACAAAAAATCTATTAGTTTACAATTGCGGTTAAATGCTTTTACTTACGACTTTATTTTCTTCTGAATAAACGTCACATAAACGATATCAAATGATAATTTAAATATTCTAAAAGATTAAAGTTTTTGCGTAACGCATAACTGCTGAACGCGTAGGCAAATCGCCTTTTCGCAAGTAAAATGCGAGCTGCGTAACGATTCTTAACAAGGCCTGCAACTCTACCACTCCGAAACACAAATCTTGATTAACAAGGCCGCTGCGCGGAGAAACAAGTTGAGCGTGGTACTACCAGTAATGTGGTGGAAATTGAACTCGGAATCTCTCGCTTATGAAGCGAGCGCTCTACCACTACACCACTACCGCATTTTAAATGTACAATTCAACAAATTTAAACTTATAGATATAATGTATAAATACAATAATGCTTTAAACATACAATTCGATAGTTATCACATATATGCTATGGAGATATTGATTGCAATTTCCTTTCACTTATTTTTTTTGTGATGAATACATGTGTCTTTCATATTGTGTGTTTTAGATCCCAAATGCTTTCTTTGTTAAGTTTCTGTGTCGTTATGTGCTCTGATTTCTTGCTTACAGTTGGATATGCAGCATAAATACTTACAGATTTTTCAGCCCTAAGAAACTTGAACATGCCACTAATTGATGGAACTTTAGATGTCTTAGAGTCATCGTCAGACATAGCATCATAATATTGTTCTTGAGTCTTATTCTCTCCTGTTTCTTCTTTGGCTTCTGATTCTTCTTCTTATGCATGTGACATACTCTGCTGTTCTCTTGTGGTCTATATTTTCGTATACAGAATTGGTAATAGCGCGCTTATTATTCGTTTGTGTACTATCTGTTTTTCTCGCTCCTTTAGTGTGCTTTGTTACAGTATTATGTGCCAATAACTCATATCTAATTGACTCAATTCTTCCATTAACCTTGTTTTAAATTTTAAAATTGTAGAACCCTCCAGCTTCTATCTAAAAAAATATATTTTTAAAAAACATAAAGAGCATAAGGAGAATAATATTATTTTAAAAAAATTAAAAATAATTACATCAGTAATCGTAAACGATGGTTCATTTAAAGCATCACCCACAATAGACATCTGAGTGCCGCACTTTATAGAATTATTTAAGCGTCCATCATTTTGTTCCTCACAAACTTTGCTTTTAAAATGTTTTCACTAATTTTATTTATTCTAGTTTATTTAAATTTTTCTTTAATCAGCTTTCTTTTTTCTTATATTTTTTATTTCTCTTATTTTCACATATATTAGACATTAGCCAGTTGTTGATGTTATTGTTAAAATATGTATGACCAAGGATGATTTTAAGAAGGTTTCCTCAAACTCGCACTAATGGGGTTTGCATGCAATATCACCACATATGAATTATTTTTAACAATGAATTAAGTTAGCGTGTAAAATACTCATGTACAATAATTTAATGAAGTTTCCTTAAACACATTAAAAAGCGCTATTTTATTCTATTGCTTTAATAAATTATAGGAAGTGAGATCACATTTAGATAGGCATATGAAATATATTTATTTTGAATTCAATTTAAAAGAAGAAAATATATAAAAAAAACATTTTAAATACTAGCTTTTGTGTATTTTTTTTTTTGCTCTGGTATTAAAATGATAACTCTTTAAAATTAAATAAATAATTAAATTCTATTCAAGTATAATTAAAAAAATATTTTGGTAACCATATATATACACCAAAGTCTGCAAGGGCGCCAAAAAAGGTACTGTCCTGGGCGGTATGAAGGCTCTTGGTGCCCCTAGTAATATGACTACTTTATTTAAGATGTTTAAAATGCTATTTAAAAAATTTTAATAATTAGGAATATATAGTAGTTAATTCATTTAGCATAAACATTTTGTTGTAGTTATTGTTCAAGAATGTAAGATTTTAAAATTAAGTAGTTATTATTGTAACTTATATATTTAAATTAACCATAATTATATTTAAAAAAAAATCAACATTAAAAAAAAAGTCTTTTATTTATTATTTAGAAAATACAGTTATAAGGAAATAATAAAATCAATTAAAATCATCTCAGGTGTGCTTTATTACGCATTGTCAATTATCTGTTTTATGAGATTTTTTAACTTAGCTGTTGTAATATGACTCTCTATATGTAATGTTATTATGAACTTTAAGAAGCTATCTTAAAATTTTGTTTAAAACTTATAAAAACACAGAAATTTGTCTTTATTATAAACGTCTTTGCATAATCAAGTCAGCGCATTAAAAAAAACAGTAGAAACAATCTTTCTTAATTTTACAATAAAACTTTTTTTCCTTTGAAATAAATAAACTGCGACAGGTTGTAATAAGCTCCAGGTGGTTGGAAATTGATAAAATAGATGAAAATTACATTAAAAATTGAATATGACTTTCCAATGGAAAGTGACTGGAAAGTTTAGGGAAGTAAGGTTGAACTTAATTGTAAAATTATATTTTCAATATCTTGTTAAAACCAAAAAAAAGTGAATATTTTTTAAATTCTATCTATTTCCACTTCTTGGAAAGTTGGAAACTCATTAAAATTAACTTTTTTTTATATAATATATAAAATGAAATAAATTTTAAATTTCAAAAAAAAAAAAAAAACAATTACTCAAATGAAACAATTTATATTTCATTATAATAACTTGGGTTATTTAAAAAGTTTCCACGTTCTTGGAAGTAAAGCGAAATCAAACACTCATATTTAAAAGTTTTTAAATAATTTATGAAAAAAACATTATTTGTTGTGAAAGTAGTAATTAATTGTTGTGAAAAGCATTATCGCAACAATTATGAAATTTTTTTTTTTAATAAAAAAACAAATATTTAAATGAACTTTTTTTTATTTTTTGTTTTTAAAAAATTTTTGATTTAAGTTTATTATATTATATTTAAATTAAATTTATTATTAAATATTGATAAATTTAAATTTATTTTATTAAATTAAAAAAAAAAAAAAATTTTATTTAAAATGCTTCACTTTAAAACTTTTTTAATGTTAAAATTTCAAAACTATGTTAAAAAAAAATTTCTTGTAAACATCTAATAACTTATAACACTACAAAAATGTTCATTAAGCGTACGTAGAACTTTTTTGCTATTAGGCAAGTAAAAATATAACGCAAGCCTTCCCAGGATACACGTGTGGTTTTTCATCTTGTACGTCCATGCATGAATATTTTATTTTAGACAACTTGGTCATGGCCGTTAGCAAGTTTTTTATATTTTTATATTTATAGTAGTAATAGACAAACTTTAAAGTATGATAATTTAATTTATCAATCAATTAACTGAAACACCTGAGTTATTTTTTATTATTTAACACTTCTTATCTTAAAGTTTTAAAATTTCCAGCAAATACTGAAAATTCTGAATAACTTTTAAATTCTATATTATTAACTTATAGCATAATACACAGCAATAATATAGAATAGTTATTCCTGTTTGAAAAGGCTGTTCAGCTTTGTTTTTTTTATTTTTTACATAATATTACATAATTTATACAGGCCTCTGCAGGAATGGTGAGGTATTGCCCTTAGCACCTGTGTAAGTCAGTTTACACTAGCGAAATAAAGCTCATACAATGCAACAATTATATTGTGAAATATACAATTGTGCAATATACAATTATTCTTTTTTTAAACAGCAAAATTTGATAATGATTTTAGGTTGAGTTGTGTTTTACTCCATAAATAAAAATAGTAAAAAACATCTGGTTCATTAAAAATAAAATATCGCTTTTATAATTATTATGTAGTTACATAATGATAGAAAAAAAAATTATTTTATACATATTATATACATTTTATTATAAATTATATTATACATATTTATTAATAATGAAAGAAAAAAAGAAAATAATAAGGAGACGAGATTGATGAAAAGTTCTCAGCAAACTATTCAGCTTTGTTTTTTGGTGAGATAACAAACTCTAATAGTGGGCTTTGGCATTAGACAAAACCTTTTTACACTGGTTTCTAGAAATAGTAAAAAGATGTCTGTTTTCTGGAGAATTGTTTTGGCAATAAATATAGAAGTAATGCTTACTAATGGATATTGCAGCAGCACAATGTGAGGAAAACTTTGGAGAAGAATGAGGCTTGTCTTGGAATTGTCAAGAGGGAATAAAAGTTTCCATGCCAGCCTGAATCCAAGAAGTTACATAAGCATATTTGTCAGAAGAAAGGCAAAAGACTTCTACCCAAGGGCTATCACAAAGAAAATCTTGGAAAAAGTCCCTGTCAGCTTTAGGAAAAAGTGCAATGATGAGATTCTGAGATTCCAATGATGAGATTCTAAGATTCTAAGTAAAAAGTGCAATGATCAGATTCTGATGATAAAGAAGTATGAGATAATAGTATTAGAGAGATCAAATTGTGATCAGAAACACCTAAGGGTGTATATAACCAGAAATTGAGTACTGACTAGAATTAAAAACAAATAAGTTGAGTAGAGAATTGGAATTGAGTAGAGAAAAAGAATTAGGAAAATTGACTATTTGTGTTAGAGATTGAAAAAGGCAAAAGCTGTGGGTCTTAACACCTGCAGAGCCAAAACTTTCAAAAAAACCAAAACTTTCAAAAAAATAAATACAATTTAAGAGGAACACTTTTTATTTCAATTTTAAAAAGAAAATGGTTATAAGATAAGCAGTTTACTTTGAATTTTTTATTAATTTTAGATATCTAAACAATAATCATAGAAATACAGAAGTCTATATTTGAACACAGATTACAATGCTTAAATAGGTTACTTTTTAGTTTGACAATAGAACAACACAAAATAAAATTATTCTAAAAATAATATTATGGTAACAAAAGTATAAGTACATTCAGCTATTAAATTAAAGCTTATAAACATCATCTTAAGAATAAACAAATTTGACTGTAAACAAAGTCAAAATAAACAATTTCTCAAAAAAATACAAAGTAATGTATAAAGTTTAGTTTATTTATCATTTAATTATTATCATAATGCAGGATAAAAATATTGGAATTCAATAAATTGATAAAAAAAAAAGGCCAATACAGACTCGGATTGTGCAAAAAAAGGCTGATTAAGATGATGTCAATTAATCTGTACATCAATACTATTTTTTAAATAAAATATTTGCTTACTAATTGCATTTTCATATTCTATTTGAAAATTCTTGTTTAAATAATTTTTAATTAGAAACTTACTATGTGTTAACATATAAGATATAAATAGAAACATTTGTATGGCTAACTTTTGAAAGTAAATATCTTTGAGTATATTAAATATATTTTATAATAAAAAGGTAGCTAGATATGTCAAAGATAGCAATCTAGGTATAGGAGAAAAGTTAATTTTTAGTATTTTTTCTGTTTGTGATTTATGAAATTAAATTCTTTATTTACACATTTGATTTCTATGTTAATTCACCTTTCCAAGACCAAGAAGGTCACTAGAGTTGAGGAGACTACTTTAATTGTGATTACAACCATCTTTCAACTATATCTTAAAAGCACAAACCTTGACCGACAAGGCTGCTGCGCAAAGAAACAAGTTGAATGTGAGACTACCAGTGACATCTTGCATTTATCTTGTTTTTGACTTATGAATACCAATTTACTAATTATAAAAACTGTAAATCTTATTTTCTTATCATATTTTTAACACACACTCCACAATACAACAGGCAATACACGGTATATTAAATATGTTGCTGTAAAATTAAGTATAAGCTATTCAACCCTGATATAGGAGAGATCAGTTTTAATTAACCTAGAACCTGATAAAGATGTGAAACTAAATTGACTTATTTTGATTTAATTTAGCAGCTTTGTCAACAGCAGAAATAACAAATCCAGTAAAGTTAATTTAAAGAAAAACTGAACTTGTTCAATAAAAACTTTTTTACTTTGTTATTTGATATTAAAATAAGATTTTAAAAAGAAGTTGAAACTTTATAAGAAAAAAACAACACTTTTTGCTTTATTATTCTACTTTTATTATTTTTTATTTATTTTTGGCTTTTTTAATTGACTGTTGTTTAATATTAAGTTATTTTCTCTAGCGAAAACAACAAAGTGAGTCATTATATCATTACAAACAAAAACTCTCAATATCAAATTGGAGACCAAACATTCAATGATCTTCCTGAAATCGTGGAGTTTTACAAGCGGCACTTTCTTGACACAACTACTCTTGTAGAATCTGTAAGGTTTTTTTTTGTATTGTTTAATTGTTTTGTATTATTTTTGTTTTGCTTTTTTTATTCTTCGCTTAAAACGCTTAAAAATATTTTGATAGGGGTTACTGCATATTTGTCACAGATAGAACCTACTAAAATAAGCTTTCTTTGCTGGAATGTTTGTCCAATCAGATTCTTTGCTTTTCATTTTGCTACAATCATTTTTAACTTGTTTAATTTTGTTTGACAAGTACATGGTTCTGATTTTAATTTGTTCTTTAAAGTCTATAGCCAATTGTGATTTGATTTGTCCGAATGTCCAAGAGCATGCTTATTCATTAGACCTTGGTACAGATCTAGCATATTATTTAATTCATTTTTCTTAAAAATGTCAATGATCATTCAAATATTAATACATTTGGTTTCGAATAAAATGGTTGGTATATAAACTAAAAAAGATTTGTGCTGATCCACTAATGATTATAAATCACTGTGCACGGAAATAATAAAACCATGAAAAAATCATCTCCCATATTTTATACAGACTGCCTTTCAATTTAACAAAACAATTTCTCTAAAGTAAAATTTGCTTATTGAATAATATATAATAATAATCAGGCTAAAATTTAAAATCAATCAAGTCAAACCTAAGCATTACATGGTTACATATGAGAAATATTTTTTGTATATAAGATAGCTTATTTTAAGCATAATACATTTAATAAATGCTGTTTAGTGATAAAATCAATCATTATCTAGAAACCAAACAAATAAGTTTTAAGAGTCAAACTAAGTTAGTTAAAATTAAGTTTTTTTAAGTAAGTTTAAAAATTAGGTTTTTTTAAGTAAGTTTTATTGTTGGTTGTCACTGTATTTCCAATACCTGAACAAATGTTCAGTTCAAAACTTATAAAAACTTTGTCTAAATAAACATTGACATGATTGCTATTATTTTTCTTAGATTTTTTTTTTATTATTATTTTTTTAAATTTCGTTTATTTACATTGTATTAAAATGAAAGATGAGTTTTTTTTGTAGCTTAATATTTTCTTTCAATATTTCAATAAAAAAGAGGCTACTTTTATAAAAGTTCAAAAAATTTTTTTTGCCTTATCTGAATTTATTATATTTGTTAATAATGAGCATATTTTATGTATATTTAATTTAAATAAATAAATTTGTAACTACTTCATTAAATTACCACTTTAAAATATCTATAGAGTTATTTTAATCTTTAATTATTTAATTAAAAATTACCTAATAATTATTTAAATATTACCAAATGAAAAAGTTTTTAGTGTAATGTGAATAACATAACTTAAGATCCGTGTACATGAAATGCTCTACACCTGAAGCTTTAACACAAAGCCTGTTTTTAGGACTTTGTTCAATGGAATAATGTATCATTAGTAAAGCTAAATTAAAGTCTAGTTAAAATTATGCGCTGAGAAAAGGAACTCTTATAATGCAGTCTTAAACTATGTTTAAGAATTTAAAATACAGTTCAGTTGTTTTCTTTATCTTTAAAGCCAAAACATAAATCCATTTCTAATGTTAGATTTTAACAGATTTTCATTTATGTGTAGATTCAAATAACAACAAAAAAGTTGTTTAATTATAGTATTCTATAAATGGTAAAAAAGTTCAATTGAAGAAGCTATTTGGTGTTTAAAGTGGCTGATAATTATTTTAAGACAGGATAATACATCATTATTATTTCAAATAATAATGCAACAAAATTTTATAAAAGTTGCAGTTATATGCATTTTTCATCAGTTTTATATAAAATTAGGGGTGCTGAACACCAATTTGAAGTCTGCTATTTGTGCACTGTCAACCAATTGTTATTGTCATGCAATTATTAAGAAAAATTTATTATGATAATGATTAATGTTATAATAGTATTAAGTAACAGCACATCAGCTGTTAACTTGCTAAATAGAATGGTACCATAGATTTTGTGAAAAATGAAGAGCGCAACTTTCTCTTATGATGACTTTAGTCACTAAACCTAACCCTAAAATCATAATAGCCCATTATAGTTCCATCCCATTGCCCATGGTAACACTTCTACATGACTTCAATATATTGGTGAAACCTCTTGCCATGCTCTTCATATACTGCTACCAAATTTGTTCTGAAGAAATCCAGGTGAGAATTAAAAAGTGCAGCTTGATTGACATTTGACATGAGCGTGATATGTTGTCAGCAAAATTTTTTTTAGTTCTTCATAGTCTTCACTTATGTTATTTCCTAGGAATCCATTTACTATGTATCTAAACGCCTGTCATGCATTTTTTTCAAACTAGACATTGTAGTTTCTAAGTTCTCTGACACCAACATGCTATGTATCTGTGGTCCAGTAAAAATGATGGCTTTCAGTTTTGCATCCGATAACTTAGGTAACATGGAACATATGTACTAGAAAGCAGTGACTGTGAATCCAGTGCCTTGATGAATTGTTTGGCTAGCCCCAGCTTGATATGCGAGGATGGTAAAAGAACCCTCTCTGGCAAAATAGTAAATATTTGGCGTACACATCTTGTAAGCATAGAAAGAGGCCAATTGATACTTATTGTAATTTATCTTCTCAAGCAAAAATATAATTTTTTTGTAATTTTCCTTTAAAGTGTTGAGCCACAGTTAAAGAAAGATATTGGTTCCCATTATGTAAAAGAACACCTTTAGGGCTGCAAATAGAACTATCTATAAACAATGGCTATGCTCTAAGTTCATGCAAGAATCCAATTTCTCTAAAAACACCAACATTTAAGTAGAAACATAAGCTATTCAATACTTCATAAAACTTAAAAAAAGAACTGGTTCCTTTTCATGTATTTTGAAATCTTGCACATTAAAGTCAATAAGTTTCATCGTTTCAGGCTGAAAGTCAATATTTTAACTCCAGACTTTGAAATGTACTTTTTCATGTATTTTGAAATCTTGCTTGTTAAAGGAATCACTAACTGCCAAGACAAGTTGTATTCAAATTAAAGAAAATGTTAAAAAAAAAAACATTTGGGCTGAATTTTTTTGATTGAAACTAAATAATGAATGCCTACCAACAAAATTAAATTATCGTTTTAGTTAAAGCTTGCCGTCTCCATTTTTTTTTTGGTTCTCAGTGTCTGTATAATGTTATCCGCAATCTGCAGACTCGATAATTTGTTCAATGCCTGTTTAATTTATAACAGTTTCGGTATATGGCGTCATGGCAATATCTTTTTAAGATTTTTTAAAGAGTTTTTTTGTTGTTGTTTTTTTTAAAGATATAAGTATTTTTTCTACTACAATCAGAAAATCAAGTTTTGTATAATTTTTTACTAAATCACAATATATATATATATATATATATATATATATATATATATATATATATATATATATATATATGTATATATATATATATATATATATATATATATATATATATATATATATATATATATATATATATATATATATAAATTTTTTATTATTACTTTGTTGTAGAAGCCAGCCAAAATTATGACACAACTATACATATTTTGTGATTATTAGAGTTCTAAGGCAGAGAAAATATAAAGGCAGTATGATGCGGTTTTTGGTTTTATATTTAGTTCATATGGTTTAATAGAGTTGTTCGTTTTATGTTTAATTTACATTTAGTTATGGTTTATACCTTTATTTAACAAAGTATTTTGAAGAAAAAATATTATTTTTATTCATTAAATGAGGTTTGTTTTGGACTTGAAGTTTTAGTTACTACTTAAAAAAACAATAGTTTTAAGAACTTTGCATTTCTTATTGTTTAATGATGCGTGTTAAAAACTTTATTATTATCAAATTTTAATTAATTGTTATTATTATCAAATTTTAATTTCTGTTTATGTTATGCTATTTAAATGTTATTCAAAAAAATGTGCGGTTGCTACAAAAAAATTTTTGTTCAGCTGGTAGCAAACAATTTAATGCGATTCTTTGTTTTTATATTTATATTTTATACACTTTCTTGTATATTTTAGTACAAATACTTGTTTTAACTTTATTTAGTTTGATTCGAATGGTTATTAGTAAGATAAGTCGTTTAATATTTATTTTCTACTTAGTTCTATTTAGTTTATATGTTTTATTCAAGTCATTCATTGTTATATATTAGATTTTTATTTTTATAAGTTTTATAAATTTAATTTTTAATTGCATCATAAACTTTTTTTGGGATTTATTAAAAAGTTATACAATTAACATGATTTGGTGATTTTGGCAAAAAAATAATATGACTTACAAAAAAATAGTACGACATACAATATAATACGAATACAAATAATACGAATACAAAAAAATAATACAAAGAAAAAATTTATACGCTGACATCATATACCTAAACTGTTATGAATTAAACATGCATGGAATAAATTATCAAGTCTGCAGATTATGGCTAACATTACACAGACTCCAAGAACCAAAAAAAAATGGAGACGGCAAGCTTTGACTAAATAATTTTAAATTTAACGGTGTGCATTCATTATATAGTTTTAATCAAAAAAATTTTGCCTAAATGTTTTTTTAAAACATTTTCTTTAATATGAACACAACTTGTCTCGGCAGTTGGGGATTACTTTAAAGTCGATAGGTTCATTGTTTAGGAAAATGTGGCTGTTTGAAAAGTGATGGAAACCATTCTTCAGATTCATCTGTAATCAAATGGCATGCTTTTTGATTTCCCTGTAGCCAGTCCTCTAAAGCTAATCTGCCAGTACTGCATGACACATGAGGCGCCCATTTCTTGTCTTGATCGCCTATTTGGATTCAAAAGTACACAGCATATCTAATTTATCCGTAACAAAATGACATAACAATGTAGAACAATATCAAAAGTTTTTATTTTATACTATGGCTTTAAATAAGATAAAAAATTAATTATAATTTATTTTATATATATATATATATATATATATATATATATTATATATATATATATATATATATATATATATTAATAATCATTGTTTTAAATAAACACATTTTGTGTAAATTAACAAAGAA